GGAGCTGGATAAGCAGGCATCAGGCCCTAAAGGCTGACGTGTCTGGGATCACAAGGCTGAACAAGCTGCCCTGGCACCATCAGTGGAAATTAGAGCTAATTTAATTCAGTTCTCTTATGTTACAGCAAAGGAGATTGCACCGTAGCCTGGATGACAGAAGAGTAGGCGCAGCAGTGGGTGAGAAAACAGCTTCCTTTCGATTGCCTGGCTTTCACCAGGACGGGGCCTGAAGATGAACAGGCTCAGCAGGGAGATGTGCTGTGGGTGCTACAGGGAGGCCCTGCAAGCCAACTCTACTTCTAAAGGGGCGAAGGCTGGTTTTCACTAAGCACCTGCTCCATGCCTGTTACTTTTGTGGACTGCACTCGTGTTACTGACTTAGGCCTCACAACAGTCCCAGGAAGGGGCTGTTTTACAAATGAGGAAACAGCCTAGGAGACATAAACTGCTATAGCTATTGAAACGCATCTGAAATTTAAAAACCAGTCTATTTAACTCCTAAGCCTGTACTTTTGTTTCTTATTCTTGGCAGGAATGGAGGCTGAACCTACGACTTCTGTGCTGAGCATTATCCCCAGCCGTTTTCATTTGGGGAAAGAGTTTTACTAATTTACTAAGTTGCCTACATGAGGCTTGAACTTGTGATTCTCCTGCTGGAGCTTCTCAGAGTTGGGATTAGGGGGTTTGTCACCAGGTCAACCTTCTAAGCTCATATTTTAAAATGCTCTTTTTCTACAAATAAATTTCTCTACATATAGCCACAAAGCATATGAGAAACAAAGTAGAGAAACAGCCTCTTTAATACCTTTTTTTTTTTTTTTTTTTAAAGTCTGCTTTAAGGTATGAGCCTTCATTTTAAATTCAGAGCTTTGGAGAGGATTTTGACAGTATCTTATAATGATGTATCCTTATTTTAAACTCTGGATTTCTACTCTTATAAAAACATTCTAGCCTTATATAAAAAATACTTGAGGCTGGGTTACTAAGTGGAATATTATGCTTTAAACTTCTATATTAGCTGGACAAGATGGTGCATGCCTGTGATGCTAGCAGAAAGGTGAAGTAGGAAGACCACTACAAGTTTGAGGTCAGCCTGGGCTATGTAGGGAGGTCAAGGCCAGTCTACAACCACACAGTGAGACCCTAATTACCTTTCCCTCAAATCTCATTAAAAATTTAAACATTGAAGCAAGTGTGGGAAAATCAGAGACTCAAAAATTACATTGCAGGATTTTCTTTCCCTTCAAAATTCATCTCTTTTTCTAGGAGTGTAAACTGTATTGTCAAAATGAGGAAGAAGGATGGCTAACTTCTTTGAAATAAATCTCCAGGAGAAGCATCAATTGAGGCAGAGAGTCACACAACTGTCAAAAAGCAAGAAGAATTGTTTTCTTCTGTATACATACTAATAATAAATCAAATGCTAATTTATACTAACTTCAAATGATTTAAGGGAATTTGTCAGATTCTTTTGACAATGAGCCTGAAAAATTTTAATTTATTATTTTCTTTAGTTGATGGTCTTATTAGTAACTCAAGCTACAAAGATGCATTAATTTTAGGCACTTGACCAAGAATTACTTTGAGAATGCTTGTGTAAGTTTTAAGTGTAAGTAAAACCAGGATCTCAAATCCAGCTCACTGAGGATTTGCTTGGATTATACACAATTTTAATGGTTGAGCCAACATTTAAAAAAAGATTTAAAAAAAAAAAATCACATGTAAAACATCCAGATTTCCCCTAAGCTTTTCTTAGGGAAAAGAAAGGAAGATTTGGCACTCAGCATTCTTCAGGGGCTATGATCTGCAGAAGCTGGGTTCCTCCAAAGTAGAACTAAGCAGAGAAAGTGCAGGAATTAAGAGGAAAAAGAATGAAAAAATAAGATGTGGTCTGTTTCACTTGGGAAGATTTCAATGAACTAGACAGTAAAAGATTGTTTCCCAACGCGGAATGCTCTAGTATTCTGGGATATGAAATAGTAACACCTGTGAATCTTTCAGTATCCATGTTGCCCAAATGAGGCACTTTTAGAACTCTTGTCCAATTTAAGGTGACTATTTCAAAAGTTGTTTTTATATGATGCCAATTAAAGAATAAATAGGTCTTCAAATTCTTGTACAATTCTAGTATTTATGTGAGTTTATCTAGGAGATACAAAGGACACAGCTTTCTTGCTATGCCTAATACGGCATATATTCTTTTCAATGATCATAATCTCCCCTTTCTCTGTCAATGATTAAGGCTTGTGTCTCACGCTCAAAGGTCAAAAGATAATACTTGACCAGGGTCAAAAAGAAAGCCAATCTTTGTCAGTGGTGCATGTTATTTTTCTAGCTTCTCTATCAAGTTAACTTCTGGTTTCTAATTTTTTCCCATTAAGTAGTGAGATGGAAATTCGAGATTTTATTTCAATTACCATGTTTTAACAAAATTTCCCAAGCATTTTATGAAATACTTTTCAGGCCTCAGGCTAACCTTTTCCTTCTTCAGGTTCCCAGCACATTTTCTCCTAGTATATATGATGAAGTCTCTTTCTGTGAGCCAATTATTGTGTTATATTTTACAAAAAACAAGAGGCAAAGAACTGCCAAGGACATTGCCCAAGGTCACAGAAGAGGCAAATGACTTGGGCCTTCCTAAGACATGGCCCAGGGTTTGGGAAGTCAGGAAATCCTGCCATTTGAGTACTGTTTCTGGCGTGCCAAAACTATTTGTGGCAAAATACTATAAAGGGTATAAATTTAAAAAGAGTAAGTAAGGGAAGCCACAGAAAAAGTATTCTACAGGGAAAGAAAAGAAACATGTCCTAAAGTTTCTAAAGGAGGAGATACAGGGAACTGGCATCCTATGTGGTCCGGTGGGTGCAAAGAAGAGGGGAAGACAAGAAGGAAGATGGCTCGGCCAGCATAAGAGAAAACAGCTGAGTGAGAACACCACGAGGGGAAAGGAGCAACTGGGTACTGTGCAGGGAGAGAGATCAGATCAAGGAAGGCATTCAGAGACACGGAACTCAGCTAAGTACACCTGCAGAAAGCATTTCATAAGGAGAGTCCGCTGTATGTAACATCCCCAAACACGGAAACACAGAAGCGCTGTACAGTAAAAGACAGGAGGAAGTATACAAAAACACACTTCCCCGCCCACTCACGTGAGAAGGGGATCCCACACTACTGCACACGTGTGCCCAGGGGTGTGGTACATGGACTCTGTGGCCACTAACTAACTGGAGGCCTTGGGTAAGTTACTAAACCTCTTGCCACTTTTGTCTCTTGTGAAATGGGAGGAAGGCCACTACTCATGTCAGAGCTATTAAAGGATTACACAACTAAAATATTTAGATAGTGTTGACACACACAAAGTGCTGCAAAAACTAAGCAAAATAACTACTGTGCATGCCAAGGCATATAGAGGGATACACAGGCTCAGATGCTCCAACAGGCACGATGGAGAAACAAAGTGTGTTCCTTTAGCTATGTGAACGTGTTCTTGGAGAAAGAAGACAGGTAAAAACGAAGACATTCTAAAGCTGAGATAAACAGATGGTTACCATTACCTTTGATCCAGGGGGAAAGGGAAGTCAGTTGCAAAATAATTGAGAAACAGTGGACTTGGGTAGGAACACTAATTACCTAGGAAGTCAAAGGCTGGTGCTAACACCAGGTTCTCCATGCTAAGACCTTCCAGAAGGCCCAGCATGTTGATATAGGGAGGGCGCAGAAGGAAGTAGCTGTTGAAGTTAAAGGAAGTCAACCAAGTTACGACTGACGTGTGTCCTCTGATGCTTACTGAAATAAGGCAACGTAAAGAATCAAGATGCCTCCTCGCTCTGTCTAAGGTATTCTACTTAATTTCTTACAAGCCAAGCTCTCTGGGAACTTCAAGGACTTCCCAGTTTCCATAGCCAGCGGCCTCATCGCCAGTGTACCTGGAAGTATTTCTGAGACCACTGGCAAGCTCATGTTTTTAGAAACTTCCTTTGAGTGTTGGATACCACACTCAGCTCTCCATGTTTTCTCTGCAGTCTTTTTAAGCACTTCCTACCAATTCTCTTCTACAAAGCAGATTTCTTCATGCTGTCTCTACTGCCTCACTCCAGGTCTTTGCCATCTGTTTCTCAAGCAGCCCCACTGTTGGCCTCCCTGCTCCCATGTCCACGTTCCCATCTATCCTCCACATGCACCGAGTTCCTTTCTCTAAAACAAAGGCAATCATGTCACTCTCCTTATAGATCTGTGCTGGCAAACTGCGTGCTCTCAATGTAAAAGTCATGTCTCATGGAAGAGTCTGCATGATTTCACTGATGTACCCTTCAACTTTCATCTTTCACCTCTCTCACTACCTGAGCTAAACCACACACAACTTCTCAATGGGCCCAAATATGCTGTGTCCTGTGACACCATGCACAGGCCCTTTCCCAACCTTCTCTTCCTAGAAAAGTCCTTTACTTGCTCCAGATCCACTTTCACCTAAGAATTGCCCTCCTCAGCTTCCTTAAGCAGGAGATAATTTTCTCACTGTCAACGGCACTGTGGTCAAACATCTCAAACCTTGAAAGGTCATGCGAGACTATGACTGACCTGTCAAATCATCGGCTTTTCTATTCATTTCTGAGTACCTCAGAGATGGAACCAAGTGTTATTTAAAAGCAAAAAGCCTCCTATACCTGGCACAAAACCTTATTGCGTGATCTAAACACAATCCACTTATTTATTTATTTATTTATTTGAGACAGCGTCTTGCTATGCAGTTCAGGCTGGCCTTGAGTCTACTTTGTAACCCAGGTGGTCTTGAACTCGCAATGATTTTCCTGCCCTCAGCTTCCTGAGTGCTGGGGTTACAGGTGTGCGCCACCACACCTGGCCTACACAATCCTTTCATATACTGGGAAGACTCTTTAATGCTAACAAGGTCAGTGATGAGGCATAAAATAAGAAATCAGTTGACACTGTTTTGCAAGGCATTAAGCTCTGTGGTAAGTAGGAAGAGTACTATTTCTCACCGCTGTATGTCCTTATTCTTCCACAAGGAGGCAGATTGAGCCTTCGGCACTCTTTCAATGAAATTCACCAGCTCTTCCATGAGAAGCCTGAGTTTAAATAAAAGATGTGAAAGATTATTAGAAAAACACCTTGCTCTGATCCTGTAGCAAGGAGAAATGAACTTGCCCCCCCATTCCACTCAGACACCATTTCACATTGAGACAAAAACCTAGCCTTCTCAGTGAATTTGTCTTACAAATTTTGAACCAAAATGATTCAATCTTTAAGACACTACTTGCCTGTTTATCTCTGAACACTAACTACATAAGCCTATTTTAAGTCATTCTAGGATTCTGGTCTTTATGTTATTATAAGAGAAATTTTAAAATGTGATATATCAATTTTTGTGACAGCAAGGTTGGGGACAATTTTTAAAATTGACAATAAAATGGACAATTTTATCCTAAAAATGAAAGGATCAGCAAAAAGTAAATCTGTGTGCAATGACAAGGTGGAATCACAGAACTGCAGTTGAAAGCATCTGATAAAGGCTGCTCGGATGGATCGGGGGTACACATATTCTCAGGATTCACGGCATAGGGAACTGTGAGAACTCCTGGACCAAAAAGCTAATAATATGTCTTCAACATCTTGTTCCTAATCGAATGTGGATGATTCACACTGACGTAAATCCCCTCCATATTAATGTACAGATAATGCCAAGTTATCCATGTATAAGCATCTAATGACTGAACAACTTCATCTCACCTCACTTTCATTTTTGCTTAATCCTAATGCCATCTCCTCTAGGTGGGGGGCTTTGTGTTTAACATTAGGAAGTTTGTGCTGAGCTGCATCCCTAGCCTTTTTTAATTTTATTTTTAATTTTAAATTGCCTAGGCTGGGCTCCATCTTGTAATCCTCCTGGCTCAGCCCCGTCTCCATGTCCAGCTGCCAGCTCTTCCTCCTATTTTAGAGCAGCAGAATAATTCCAGGATCCCATGATGTGGGAGCCAGGCTCATTGTTGTTCTGGCTATAGCTTTCTTAAGGACAGTCTATCCTCATGCTCTCACTTCTCTGGAATGCAGCCTATCATTTTAGCTTCCCTACCTTGGAACTGATCCTTCACTGAGCATCTTACTTTCTATAATGGCCCCACCTGGGATCCCTTATGCAGGCAGAATGATTTCATGCACAGAACAGATTGCTAGTCATTCCATCTTGTAGGATCCAGAATCCAACCTCAGAGACAAGATCCTGTATATGAGGTCCTGAAGTTTTAACATACTTGATTTATATCAAAACAATAATTTAAAAGGTATTTTTCCTGGACTAATTTCCTTCACGTAAGTATTTTTCTCACTAAATGATGCTATGGTTACTTTCAGTTCATCTATGTCACCAAGGCCTGACTGGTGCAGAGAATGGGACAGTAGAGCCTTCTCAGAGTCAAAGACTATACATTTTTACTCATTGGAGTGCGATGTTTCACTGTCACCAGCTACTTACTAACCTATGGCCTGTTTTCTATAAGCAGTATCTTGTATTATTATTATGCAGTAAGCATAAGAAGGACTATCCTGACAGCAAAGTAATAAAATTTTTTCTTCTGAAGCTCTTTACCTTGCATCTTTGTAGCATCTTCCCAAACTTCACCTCTTCTGGTTGATACCATCTGTCTGTATATGCCCTTCAATTTACATTACAACAAAATGACTAACAAGACCACCCACAGTGTCACCTTTCAGTGATGCGTTCTTTATCTAAAGTCACTAGCTGCGCCAGAATGGAGCAACCTGTCTCCGCTAAGGGAGGTACTACAGCCACATCCCAGAGGCCTAAGTGGTCTGCTCTCACCTGCCAATCTGGACAGTGGGCTCCGTGGCATACACTGTGCCTGTGAATCCTGTGTGCTCGGTGATGTAGGGCAGTGCCATCATGCAGTGATAGTTAGAGATGAGAATTACATCTACTGTAGACAGGTCTATTAGCTCGGTCTGCAAAGAAGGGAGTGATGAGACTTCTCTGGTAGGGCACACAGATCAGTGAAACATCATCAGTGACAGTGAAACATCGCACTCTAATGAGTAAAAATGTACAGTCTTTGACTCTGAGAAGGTTCTACTGTCCCATTCTCCCATTCCCAATCAGGTCTTGGTGACATAGATGAATACTGAAAGTAACCATAGCATCATTTAGTGAAGTGACTGAAAACAGTGCTGTTGGAATGCAGAGAAATGGCTTTCATACTTCACAGTAATGAGGCCTTTCCCCCACCAATCTCCCTTTTTCTCACTGTGGGATTTTGCTAATAGCGACATTAAGCAGCAAGACAGGATTAACAAGAATGGTCCCCCATCAGCACACTGACTCTACTAGAAGAGTTTTTCTGAGCTAATGTGAGGCTAATGACAACAGGACACAGCAAAGCTGTTGCCAAGCAGGTGAACCAGGTAACATCAAGTGAGAGTGCACAATCTATGTTCTCAGGTGTCCTACAGGAAGTGGGGAGCAATGCGCAGAAACCTGCTCATCAAATGTCAGTGAGGCAACTTTTAACCATTAGTTCTATATATGGAGTCAATTTTTAAAAAAGGAATGAGAAGTTCACATTCTATCCTAATCTTATCCCAAATCTGCCCTTGTAGTCTGCTGTCACAGTCATGTGAAATAAAAAGGTTAGCAGGCAAGTGGAATTGCTACCCAAGTTTGGTAAATGTTAAGAAAATTCTTTCAGTAGAAGAAAAATTTCTCTTATAAGTATAAGCCCTGCCTATTCGTTAAGGCTCCATTCTCTTCTTTTACCAGACCTTCCTAATGTGCCTGGATGAAAGGACCCATTGGCTCTTCTGAACCCCCAAGTGCTTTATGTGTATCCCCTTGTGATAGCACTCTGCACAATGGCACCTCAGAACAACACCTGGCCTGTTCCCTGACCCTTGGTGGCAGGCAGCACGGAAGAGGCCTTGGCGCACTGGTGCAGAAGGGACTCGGCAGTGAAGGCCACATCTGTGGAAGTCTCTGGCACTCTGTGCGCCCCTCACAAGCGCCCCTCACTGTGCCATGAGGACAAGCACAGGCAGGTCACGGAGGCATTTCAGGGAAGAGAATGGGTTTGTAGTTTATTTGGAGATGTCCCCTCAGTCTCATGTGCTCATGAGGTGGGGAGGTCTGAGGGAGGTGGGTGGGTCATCAGGGTGTGATTCGCATCCATGAGTTAGTCTTCTGAGGTGTTTATAGCTGACTGTGATGCTGGTCAGGGAGTCACTGAGGGTACAGCCTGGAAGGCTCTATCTCCTCGCTCTTCCTTTATTTCTCTGCTTCCCACAGCCATGCCAAGAGCTACCACTTCTCTTCACACACCTCTGCCATGCTGCCTACCTTGTTGTCATCTAACTCGGGGTTGAAATCCCTACAAACTGGGAGCCAAAATAAACCTCTCCCCCTTACAGTTGGTGTCAGCTACTGTGTCTTAGTGATGCATAAAGTAACAAAGTCCCTGTAGAGAAAAAGTAATAAAGATCTCAGACACAAGCAAATGTAAGAGGCATCATGCCATTTTGACCGTGAGTTCTTCACAGCTAAACAAACAACTTTGCATATAAAATAACTTAAAACTGCCAAGGCAGCATCAGTTCCCAAGGACAGCATGTGAGCTGAGGTGCCAAGCACCTCACTGCTAGGGCAGCAGCATTTATGTGACTAATATGCCTAGAGACCGTAACAACCCAAAGAGATCACCCTTAACTCCATGTTGTGACTGCACTTGCAAGATGACAGCCATGACTACTTAGTCACACAACACCACTAATTCTCTTTTCCTGTCCTCTCTAGAATTATTTCTAAACAAATAAAGAAATTAAGAGTGTGGCAGAGTTTCAAATCCAGAAGAAAATGAAGGGGCTAGGGGTTTAGCTCAGTGGCATAAGCACCTGCCTGGTAAGCAGGTGGTCGTGAGTTCGATCCCTGGTACCGATAAAAATGAAAAAGACAAAAAAAAAAAAAAAAAAAAAAAAAAAGAAAATGATACAAATGACAGCTGAAACAACAAGAATGCTCAAAAACATTACCACCTTCCTCATGCATATAGATACTGGGTGATAAAACTTGAAATTTCTCTTTAACAATAAAAATCATGCTGGGCATGGTGAGGCAAATATAATCCCAATGCTCAGGAGGCTGAGGCACGTTTGCTGCAAGTCTGAAGCCAACCTGGGCTACATAGTGAAGCCCTATCTCAAAAAGCCAGTATCAGCCCACAGGGTCTGTAATTACAAGAAATTTGGAGTGCACAGCTGGAAGAAAAAATACGTTTATTCTGCCTGTGTGTATACGTATACACAATCAATGCTCAAAATATATGGTGAGTATATACATTTAAAAATTACAATAAAAGACACATTGCCATTAATCACCTCAAAATATTCCCCCTTGCTTCCAACATACTTATCCCATCATTCTTGCCACTTTCTGAGCAGTTCTGAAGGTCCTTTCTTGTGAGTTTCCTTACTGCGGCAAAGCTGCCATTCAACAGAAGGCAGACTTGTAGAAACCAGACGGGGTGCCCTCACCCACCTTATTCAGCAGATATGCACATTTCTGTCTCTTCCTCAAAGTGAAAATGATCATGAAAGGAAAACTTTTTGAATTGATTCAGGACATCAAGGGAGTTGTAACAGTGCATGTAAACACACTGACAAAAGGGGATTTCCAAAACTGCTTAGACAGTGGCAAAAACCATGGGATAAGTATGTTTGGAACAAAATGGAATATCTGAGGGAAATTAATGGCAATGTGTTTTCTACTATAATAAATTTTATAATTTTTTGAGAAATATCATATTTTTCTATCACATCTCATATATTGAGAATACATGCTTACATAACATTTCCCCCTAAAACAATTAATTTAGCATTCAAATCATATATATATATATATATACACACACACACATACACAACTTATATATTTATTGACTTCCACTCTGTGGGACCCAATAAAAACTAATGAATCAATCATAATTTATTGATTACTCCCTAGATTGTGCCAGACCATGTATGCAGTTTATGGTATAGCTTTTGGAGTATACAAAGATATTTAGATAGCTGTGCTGGATTACAAATTTCATAAGGACAGGAGTTGCTTCAGCTGGGCTTGTCCACAAGCCAGTGGAAACCAGACTGTAGTCAGTGTCCCTCTCTTGTTTCCATTACACTGCTGTTTTCCCTGTCCTACAATGGCCTGGTTCTACCTTAACATAATGACTATGACTCACCTGTGCCATAAACACTTGCTTAAAGGGCCTTCTATAGCTTTAGAACTCTATGTATAGCAATGCCACTTCAGCTCAGCCAAAGGTGAACTGTGACATGGTAATCATCCAATATAAAAGTTGAGCGCTCCACTAGATCTCAAACTCCCTCCCTTATCTGCCACCTTCAATTACAATATCCTTCTGTTTCTCTTCTCTGTGGGTCCTCACAAAGGACGCATATATATATTTCAGTGAGAGAGAGGGAGAGAGAGAGAAAGTTTGCAGTTTATAGTTCCAAAGTATAGAAATGGGAAGAGTGGAAGGAAGAGAGGATCAAAATAAGGGAAGTAGTGGTATAAACTGATTATGAGCATGCTTTCTTCAGGCACTGGAATCTGCTGGATTTTGGCAACTTCTCACTGATTTCCAAAGGACCCCAGAGAAGCCATTGGCTCTCCTATATTCATCTGTCTGTTGAGAGCCCAATGCAGGTTCTCTGGGGGTTAGGCCTGTCAGTTGAGGTCACCTCCCTTTAAAACTAATGGAAACCAAGAGGAAACTACTCTTAAATCCCAATAAAAATCTCACTGCCATAAATCATCAGATAGTCATGGCTCAGTCCAAATACCACAAATTTCAAGCAATATTTAATACATTTTAAGTCACCAGAAGTTTTACAGTTTACAAGCACTGGCAAATAATAGCCAATTATCCACTGTAAGCAAGAGTAGGAAAAGTATGGCTAATCTAAGCACAAAGGCATTATAATTACCAAACCAAATGGCTTAAATTATTTCCTTACTTTGCTCAAAACTATGTCTGAAAAGTATTACTAGGGATTACAGAAAGAGCTAGAAATAACAACAGAGTAACTTAAATGATTTACAGACAATATAAAAAGCTTCTAAATGATGCTTTAGCTGTGTAACAATGTGCCAGGAATAATAAATTCATTTCAATTTGAAAACAGGAAGCTAAGCCCCTTAAAATTATTCCTTGACTTCACCATGAGAGATTACACAATATGCATAGTTTCTACAGTAAGACTCACTTTCATCTTACCTCTGGTAAACAGAATTCAGGCACAGAATCCACAAATACATGACCTGAGCACTCCTTTAACTCCTACAAGAGACAAAGGAGGACGATATTAGTAAGAGACATCCAATTGATACAACAGCAGAGAAATGAAATCTCTAAACCATACCTCAGAGGTGGAAGGTTATTTAGGCTAATCGCCCCTGTCCACGTTGAGGTAGGTCGAGTGTCTTACTGAGGTAAAAATGCTGCTTGTTTGGCAGACTCAGGATTCAAATGCATATTTCTTTTTTTTTGTCTTTTTCATTTTTATCTGTACCGGGGATCGAACTCACGACTGCCTGCTTGCAAGGCAGGTACTTATGCCACTGAGCTAAATCCCCAGCCCCAAATGCATATTTCTTAATGCCTTTTTAAAGAAGGACACATGCTGCTTCCATAACCCACGATCCAATGGCCTCCAAGTAATGATTATGAAGGCCAGAGCAACAATATCAGAATTACCTAGGGGCACTGATTAAATCAAAGTTTGCTAGGCCCTATCTAACATCTAGGCAATCAAACTAGGGATGAGGGAATGCAGTCTTTGTTTATGACAAGTACCTTCAGTGATTCTGCTATACAATCAGGTTAGGAGTCACAGCCCTACACAAATTACTCAAAAGCCTTTTTCTACCCACCAACGATTGGGAGAAAAGTAGAAGTAAGGAGGAAGGATCAGGGCTGGTGATTTAGCTCAGCAGCGTAAGTGCCTGCCTTGGAAGTGCATGGTCATGAGTTCAATCCCCGGTACTGATTAACAAAAAAAAAGGAGGAAGGATCAAGAGTAGGGAATATGGATTAAACACCCACTACCATCACAAAGGGATGCTTATCCTTGCAGAACATGTTTTATTTATAATTATAAACCAAGGATTATTTACTCAAAAAAAGCATGTATGTAAAGAAACAGAATATAGTATCACTTCCCACGACTTACTGTATTGAATGACCTGGTCGTAGTCTGGATTCTCCTAAAGGCTGACCCTGACAAAAAGGTTTGAGAACAAGGACTTCATACGGGAGATACTGTTTTTGTAGTGCTTCCTAAGCAAATGAGGAAGGGATACCTAGAAAAGAAGGTGGCTGATAACAGATGTCACTAAAACCATGTTTCCTTTTGGACAACTGGATCTTACCCTCATGGGGGAACTCTGAGAATGGCATAAAATGTACACTTCAGAGTTTTCCTATTACAAGATGACTAGAATACATTTACTAACCCTGGCAAACACTGCAGTGTCAGGAAAAAACTCTCAGGCAAAGCCACATAGACACTGGCAACTGGAGTGACACCAGAGCACGCTAAAATGGAAAGGCCAGAGAGACACAGGCATCCACCAACAGGGTCTGCTACAACGCCTCTGGAGGGTCATGAAACAAGTCTACAGTAGACTTTTTTGTCATCTAGATTAAAGCTACCTGTGACTTTACAATTAAATCAGTCAGAATTTGATTGGCAGTTTCCTTGGCTCTTTCCAGAAAGGGAAAATACTGTTATAATTTTGTTCTATCATATTTTCACTGTTCATGCAATATGCATTTCCATATATTCACATATACATGTATCTAAATTTATAAAGTCTGAATGATTTTCTTTTCAGTCTCATCTGAAAATAGGGCATTAACCACATCATTATGTTTTCAAATTTTACAAGTGCCAGATGACAGCCTTGATAGAATACTTCTGCCCCTTGTACACTGTACACTTGGATGCCTCCCTTTATCTGAGTACTGTTTAACTAGTGACAAAGTGAGCCAACGAGACACTGAAACTTGTGGGTATGTTTTCTTTCTTTTCTTTTTTCCCCAGACAAGGTTTCACTATGTACTCCAGGCTGACATTGAACTCGGTATATACCGTTGGCTGACCTCAAACTCATAGTGATCCTCCTGTCTCAGCCTCCTGAGTTAAGTGCTGGAACTTCAGATATGCACCACCACACCAGCTAAAAATAATTCTTAATTACAATGTACAGTACTTGGCAGCTAAAAACAAATAAGCAATTATGTTTGATGGGGAAAAAAACCCTCCCAACTCCCTTAGGATGGGGTTAAAAAATGATTAAAGCTAAATCTTGGGAAATTTTGAAATTCTGCCTGGCTTCAGATTGGCTATGTAATGCTCCTCCCATACTGCCATGGAACAGAGCCTGACATGATAAAGTTTCCTCTGAGGCACTCATCCTGTTTGCCATTCCAAACACTTACAATGTCACTGTATTTTATTCACCACTCCCACATCCACATGCAAGTCATTTCCCTCACAATGTACTGGTAATGGGATGCTTTGAGCCCTTCTCAGGGAACAATGATTTATAGTCCGCAGGAGACACAGGCTGAAAATCAGGTGTGCAGTTTCCTGAATGTCACATAATTTCACAGTTAGCTATGAGAGCAATCTGGTTTCAAATTATGCATTTGGCTTATACTTGATTTGAGGTGCAGTTACAGGAATTAATTCTGAAAAAAGCATCTCTTTATTTAACAATATCTCTTATAAGAAGGAAACGTATTATTCAGATGAATCATGTTAAGAATCTTTAAACTCATTCAGTTTTCAGTTGTGAAATTAGGAGAGAAATAATGATTTAAAGAGCCAAGAAGTGCATGCAGAAGCTTTACAGTGTTTAACCTCCCTATACCCCGGAATTTTTTTATTAAAAAATCTGACTGAATTATCATTTTGACATTTTTGTAACTTTGGTCTCATTTAATAAGTTGATTGAGCTCTTTAAAAAGTATCACCTTTGAAACTATAACTACAATTTTTAGAAACAACAGCTTTCTTTTATAATGAAAAGTATTTATAGCAGAAGCACATAGATTTCCACACAAGCACAAATTGGATCTGAAAATGAATACTGAGCATATCTGAGCACCTAAAGGTGCTCAAAAACAATAATTATCAAGGACCGAAGACCGCAGCATGATTGTTGTTGTCCCCCTGCCATCCAGAAGGCTATGCATGAAAAAATAAAGCATGAGCTCATGAGTCACATCACTACAGGGTGGCTCTGGTAGGACAAGATGGTTTCCACTGGGTGTAGATAGGCTTCAGTTTTTCGTCTTGGACATTACCTTGTCTAAGAAAGCATTTCCATCCTTCAGGGACCAACCAGGAAGATTACACAGCCTGGGACTGCAAAACAAAAATTAAATTATCCTAAATAGATTATAATCCTCAGTGATTTCATGGTGACTGTACTGTCTCTATAATGTTTACAACAGTTTGAAATTACTGGCAGTGATGCTTACCTAAAATAACTATCAAAAAAGAGAGAGAGAGAGAGAGAGAGAGAGAGAGAGAGAGAGAGAGAGAAATTACCATATTGTATTGAGCTTAACAATTATGTGGCAATAGAATATCTGAAGGTCAAATAGTTTAGCACAAAATTAAAAGGATTAGAGGAATGCTGTGAAGAATAATAAAGAAAAAAGATAAATAAACCATTAGGCATTTTAGAACCTTCCAATAGGTGCCCCAGCTTTAGCTGGGTTTGCCAATACACCTGAGGGAGGCGGCATGGCTGGTACACCGCAGTGCCTGTGGGGAGACAGGCTCGGGTTAGGGCTCCAGTAAGAGCACTTTCCTGCTGCACATGAATACCTGAGTTCTCCTCAAACCGTGTTCCGGAGTCAGCACCGACAAGTGCATCACTCACTCATCACCTGAGGCTTGAGCTTCCAATTATGGGAAATGAAGCCAGCTTTCACAAGTGCTACAAAACAACAGCCTCTCCAGGTGAACAGTTTGTAGAAGGTGAAATTAAAAACCTAGAATTAAAACATCATTCACATTTAGTGATCTTGGGACTTCACTGGGTAGTATCTGTAATAAGAATTATACTGGAAATGGAAAATGCCAATAATTTGGGAGAAAAAAAACAATATATTGGTTAAATGAAAGAAGGACCAATGAATGAAGAAAAAGTGTATCAGGAACACAAGTGGAATGCCAAGACGACTTCAGCTCGTTTCAAAGTTAATGTCTGTGAAGTAAAAATAAAAGGTAAAGTAAGGGTGTGAGGGTGTGACTAAAAAGACTACTGTGTTATCAGACACAAAGTCTGTATTTTATTTTTTCTCCTGAATAACTTAATAGATTCTGACTGTGTAATCAAGGAGAAATACAAGTTGAAAAATAGATATTTTTCAACCTCCTTGGAAAGATTTTACTCAGAAAAATCTGAATAAAATATATGTTTATCTAGTTTCAAAAAAAATGAATTTGGGGAGCAGCTTTCAATTTTCATATTAATGCTAAACTTACAGAAAAGTTTCAAGAATACACATACAACAAAACCATCTATATCCTTTAACTCAATTCATTTAATGTTTGTATTTTGCTTTATTAACCCAAATTTGTACTTGAGAATGAAAAGCACTACTATAAGAATCAAAATTGGGGGGCTGGGGATGTAGCTCAGCGGCATAAGTACCTGCCTTGCAAGCAGGCAGTCGTGAGTTCGATCCCTGGTACTGATAAAAATAAAAAAAAGACAAAAAAAAAAAAAGAATCAAAATTGGTTGGTACAAATTATACCTGATAAACTTCCTCTTTTTTTAAACTCTGAGTTCTCTGCTCTAACTTCTTATCACAATATTTCATTGATTTCCATCTTGTTTCATAGTCACAGATGCCTTTACTTGTAAATGTCTTACTTCTTTTAAAACATAGGCACTTTAATACCAATGTAATGACAAGACAATGTGGACACCATTCTCATTTCATGCATGCTAACTCTCTAAAACAAGGCTGTAAACACCTACTCCCTTTACAAAGAGGACTGGACCAAAGGACATGCACTCGTCTCTTCTCCATCAGGCATACACAAATCAGATGACTGATGCCTTAGATGTCAACAAATGATTAGGAAGTCTACATTACTTATCAGAAAATAACTCATTTTTTAAAAAGTGGAATTTTCAGGGATTGCAGTCTAAACCCTCTGTGGCAAATCCTCCTACTAAGCCTTTCTAGTTACTCTGGGCTTGGGACATTGATGGGACTAAATGTTCAAAGGAAAGCATGATTGCAGGGTGACAGCACAGATTGAACACACCTTGCTGAAATGCTAGGGACAGGAAATGTTTCAGATTTAATCATGTGGACTTTGCAATATTTGCATACACTTTACTGGTAGAATATACCTAACCTGAACTCTGAAATGCTCCAAAAGTCCAAAACTTTGAGTATCACATCTGTGAATTCTGGAACATTTCTGATTAGGGATATTTAATCTACAGTGCTAAAGATGAAGGGACTCAAAATATACCACCAAATAACAAAGGGATGCTGCTGATAGCAGAGACGAAAATATTTTATTATTTTGCTTCAATGAAAAAACCATAAAGAGTTAGTAAAATTTAATCAATCAAAGGGGAAGAAATTGAGGAATTGCCTACTTTGTGCCAATGATTGCAAAGTTCAAGTAGGTAAAATTTGTTTAAAAAAATGGTGAGAGAGATTTCCCTACAGAAATCTACTTCAATATCAGGGGTAAAAACATTAGAAAAACTATGATTGTAAATGAACACATCTTTGTGTTTATTATTTTATAACCTTTTGTTAGACAAAAGGCTACTATTGAAAAAATTTAAACAAAGAAAAAAACATGTATACAAAATTTACTTTTCTAGTGGGTATTTATTTTGGAAAAATATGTAAACTTTGTATAAACAAGTACGTAACATAAAGCTCTCTAAGTAATCTCTTGCCTATAAAAATACTGAAAGGTGGATTGAACATAACATGCATTTTTTTTTTTTTTTTGGACAGGGCCTCACTATGCAGTTCAGGCTGTCCTTGAGCTCACTTGGTAGCCCAAGCTAGCCCAGACCTTACAGTGATCCTCCTGCCTCAGCCTCCCAAGTGCTGGGATTACAGGTGTGTACCACCACACCTGGCCCATAATATGCAATTTATTTTTTCTTCAAATGTTTTAGGGCTGGGTCCTTGGGTATTGAACCTGGGAGGGAGTGGTGAGCTATACCCTTTTTTATTTTTCATTTGGGACAGGGTCTCACTAAGTCACCAGGTTGCCCAGGATAGGTTCAAATGCACCATCTTCCTGCCTCAGCTTCCCAGAGTGCTGGGATCACAGGAATGTGTCACCATGCCTGGCTCTTTACTCTTTTCACTTTAATAATTTCCTAGCCTGGGCCAGGGATTTGGCTCAGCAGCATAAGTGCCTGCTGGTAAGACGAAGTTGTAAGTTCAATACCTGGTACCACAAAAAAAAAAAAAAAAAAATCTTTCTAGCCTGAAATATATTAAATTTATAGTCAAAAAATAATAACAGAGGAGGTAGGACTACATTCATTTATTCACTTAAAAAATATTTACAATAGCTAGTTACTCTGAGCAAAGTGCTGAGGTAACAATAAAGAAACCATCTATGCTTTAGGAAATACAACCTAATACAAGGAGAGAGTACACAGAAACTACAATAGAACAGAGTAAGAAGCATTTTTGATAGTTTACAGTGTGGCAGTGAGCAGTGAACAGGAGTTAGGAGGTGAACATAAAGAAGGTCTTTCCTGAAAAAGAACACACAAGTGAGCCGCATTACATGGTGCAGTGTTGAATGGGTGAAGGAGTGTTAAGTATACTCACTTAGGAGTCTTTACTGAGTCCAGTACTTGGCTAGCTGCTGGTGATATATCTGTGAGCAAAATGTACCTGTCTTTCTGAGAAGGCAGGCAAGACAGACGGATAAAGCAATCACACAAATGAACAGGAGCAAGCTGTCCAAAATGATAAAGTGCTACAGTAGTAACAAGTACTGTACCACAAAAGGTAAGGAGGGACCAACCCAGACAGCTTTAAAGACTTCCCTGGGGTGCCTGGGAAATGTGGCCCAGAGGTGGAGCTCCTTCCAAACATGCACAAGGCCCTGGGTTCAATTCCCAGTACTAGAGGCAAAGAAAAAGACCCTCCACCAGGCGTGGTGGCTCATGCCTGTAATCCCAGCATTCGGGACACTGAGGCAGGAGGTTCGTTGCAAGTTCGAGACCAGCCTGGACTACAAAGTGAGCTCAAGGCCAGCCTCCTGAACTGTATAGTGAGACCCTGTCTCAAAAAGACCAAAAAACAAACAAACAAACAAATAAAACAAAACACCCCTCCTAGGGATACACCTGAGCTGAGATCTGGACACAGCAGAGTCAGGAGAAGACTTGTTCAAAGGGCAGGGCAAGATGGGCAGAGAAAAAACGACATTACCCGTCCCAGTGATTTCTTCCTGTCCTTTTCATCAGTCCTTGGCAGGGCCACCTTTCAGTAAAGAATCCCATACATTCTCTTCTAACTCCTCATCCAACTATCATGGTACCTTTTCCACATCCTTTTAAAATAGGAATTGCTGTCTTTTTTTTTTTTTTTGGTGTCAGGAGTTGAACTCAACACCTTGTGCTTGCCAGCCTGGCACTTGTACCACTAAGCTATGTCCCTGGCCCAGGAACTGCTATCTTAAAAGCTCTAAGAGAAGAGCTCCTGCTAAGCAGTTTGTGGAAGGCGGCATGAAAGAGGAAGAGAAGAGTCTTCCAGGCTGACGAACAATGCATGTGCTGGCTCTGAGGCAGGAGACAAGATTTCTTTGAAATTCTAGAAGGAAACAAAGAGCAAGAGGTAGAGTGAAAAGCCGATACAAAATGGCAGGCATCACCTAATATATTAAGATGTGTTTGTTGTCTCCTAAGAGCAATGAAAAACCACTGAGAGATTTTAAACAAATGAGAGGTAAGATTAGATTTCTACTGAAAATAATAAATCTTGATCCACTTCATGAAGAAACAGACAGACCATATTACAAAATATTACCTTAAATAATTGGCTTGTACTCTTAAAAATGTGAAGGCCATTAAGAAGACTGAGAAACTCTTCCAAATTAAAGGAGCCTAAAAACATGGTAACTAAATGCAACATGTAGTCTGAAATATGACGGTGGGCCAGAAATGTTTTTCTTTTTTTCTGTTTCTTAGTGAAGTATGAAAGGTGAAACTGAAAATATGAATGAAGCATATAATACTGCTACACGATAAATTTCTAAATTTTGATTATATCATAGTTAGGTAAGAGAATGTCCTTGTTCTTAGGAAATATGTACTCAAATGTTTAAGGGTTAAGGAGCATCACGTCTACATCATACTCTTACATGGGTCAGAAAAAATATGCATACATATAAAAGAATATAAATTTGTTAAAATGCCAGCAATTGCTAGAGTAACTAGAAATTTGTGCTATTTTTGCCAATTTCCTGAAAATCTGTAAGATTTCCAAATAAAAAAGTTATACCAAAATATGACTCTGGATGCAGACAGGCGAGGTCAAACTTGAAAAATCTGGTTAGGAGTCTTCAGCACCCCTATGAAAGGCAATCATGACTGCAGGAACAGTGAAGAGAGGTGCCTAGGTCCTTGAACTATTTGGAAGGTAAAAATGTCAAAACTTAATGAGAGAAAGTGGGGTGTATCCATGTGAACTCCTGGTTTTTGGTTTTGTTTTGTTTTCTTTTCTTTTCTAACAGAATACTGCTAAGATAGAGAACTTGGGGAAAACAACCAGGTGTGAAAGAGTATGCTCTTTTCTGGAGCAAGTTTGATCATAAATGTATTTTAGGACACATTGACTTCTAGGTGCTGTCAAACAAAGGCACATCCAAACAGAGAAACTGTGAAGAGCACATGAATCCAGAGGGAAAAGAGGTTATCTAAAGACTCACATTGCTTAGTTATTGTTTGGGATGGTCACTGAAGCCCTGGGTCTTGGTAAATTTCCTTGGTGGAGCTCACAATAGTCAAGCACTAAACACTGAAGAATTCCAATGTAGTGTATGATGGCCAGTTAGGAGGAAGAGGAGTCTCCTAAATATAAAAAAGGAAGTCATACAGGTAAAAAGAAAGCCAGGAATGCATTAGTGTGGAGGCCAGTGCTGCTGGATGTCAAGTCATTGGTGACCTTGGTGAACTCCTTGCAGTGAAGGATACAGGCAGAGTAAAGACTGCTGGTGGAGAAAGTGGAGTTGAAAAGATTAAAATTCTGCCTTAAATTTTAAGTTAAGCCAGATAATGTGGTGCACGCCTGTAATCCCAGTATTCTGGGAGACTGAGACACGAGGATCACAAATTTGAGGCTACCCTGGGCAATATAAATCCTGTCTCAAAATGAAAAACAAAAATAAAAACAAAAGCAAAAAAGGGCTGGAGATGCAGCTATATGAGAAGGCCCTGTGTTCAATCCCTAGGACCACAAAAATAAAAATTTTGAGATTAGATATGACTGACCATAATTAAATGGAAAAGACTGTCATGATGGAAAGATAAATAACTGAATAACATAATTGATGAATTATATTAATGAAAGGACAGATGGAATCAGAGAAGATAAAGCCATTCAATCATACAGTAAATATTTACTACACTGCAAAAACTGTTTTAGGTTCTGGGAATATAGTGGAGGACAAACAAAATCCCTGCCCTTAGGAAATAACTTTTGTGGAGAAGAAAAACAATATATTAAATATGTATGTATAATGTAATGACAAGTGCAATGGAGACAACTAAAGCAGGAGAAGGGAATGGAGAAGGGCAGAGGAAACCATTTTGAACAAGTAAGTCTCCAAGGTTTCTGGCCAGAGCTCAACAAGACATTTTCTGAGGAACTACACAAATTAGCATCCATGCCACTAGTATAACTTTCCTCTGAGAGTAAAAGAATTGCAAGAAAGGAGACAGCAGAAGTAGATTCTACTTTTGAGTCAGTGTTGTGAGCACAGAAGAACGAAAAGAATGAACAGTAAGAGGAAAGCATGTAGCAGGGATTGTCTGATCAATTCCAGTTCTCTATTTTTCCCTTGCAGTGCCAGGGACTGAACACAGGGTCTGGCACATGCTCGGTAAGTGCTCTGTAATTGAGCTACATCTCTGGACTCCAATTCCACAGCAGACTGGGTCCTCTCATAACATCCTTTACTTTATTTTTAAAAGTAATTATCACAAGCACAGTTAAGTCTTCAGCTGTATACTGTCTTTCTCCCCTGAAAGACAAGTATTATGAGAGCAAGAAAGCAGTCTTATTAATATTAGTATTTCCATCCAGCACAGGATAGATTATTAGTAAACACCAAATGAATAAGTAATTTGTTCTTTGTGGGGAAATCAAAAATAGTATTAGGTTATTTTAATAAGCAATAATCTGTTGGCCATGTTAAACACCACCCCTTCCCCCATGTTGATTAATACCAATGGATGGAAAATGGATTTCCAAGAGCTGGATGTGATCATAACTGAATCCCATCAGCTCTGCAGTAAATGCAATCTGGAATTATCTCTGGCCTTATCACTATACCACCTTATTGTATCCTTTAGCTCAGAAAAATCAATAGTTGATTTTAATTTTTCTGGATGATTCATGGGGTTATCACTGTGAATAATCATGGTACTCAGATGTCTTCAGGAATGACTGAGATACATTAGATGGTTTACTCAGCAGGCTAGGCTTTTAAGCTTTTCAATCTGCTTTAGATAGTTCTTTCAGCTCCTTACTTTATGTGGCATTATGTTTTTGCTCCTGTGAATATACTTATTTCTAAAACTTAGTCCCTTTTCTTATAAACTTGTGCTTCTAAGCAGGCGCAATCTGGGAAACCAGTTTCTTAAAACAAAATCTTAAATATCAACAGTGCTGTCTGTAGGCCCAAGGCAATCTATCTGATGTAACATACGTATTTGGGCTACATTATATGGTTATATGAGTTCTACAGTTGACAAATATGAAAATAATGCCAGATACCTATCAAAAAAAAAGTCCGACTCTATGATAGAAAGTCCTTGCAAAGACAGTTAAGTGATCCTAGAATTCAATTTTTGGGCTCATCAGCTGGCCATTTATTAGTTCTTACGAACTACCAATACAGATGAAATATACATGACCTCAGCTGCACTAAGTAGTTGCAGGAACATTTTACAGAAGCTTAGAAGAAGTTATAATAAAGAAGTCAATCAATAAATCAATAGAACACTTTCTACCAACACAGCCAAAGAAAATTATTTTGATAAAGAACATTTTCAAGGGGACAAAGTAAACTAAAGGGACAATACACAAGCACTGATGATTTTGGTATTAATGGATACCATTTTCAGCACACTGAATCTCATCTGTCTCAGGATGCATCAGCATTTACCTTTGAACAAGTGGCAAAGGAAGGAAATTGAGGGTGGAAGTCATGTCCAGTCCACAGTCCAGCATAATGGTGGTTGATTTGAACTTGAGTATGTTGCACGGTAAAGTTGGGTGCCCTGACAGGCAATACTGAAAAAAAATGAAATCACTTTATCAATAATCAATTACAGAAAATGCTCAAGAAGTGAACTATATAAAACTGATGATCTTTTCTCATAATAGCATGTAAATTCAGTTAATGTTCTACCATGTGACTTCCTTCCTTTTACTGCTTGGCTGTTACTTCCATTAGCAGTGCAAAATACTCAGAAGTCTCAGAGCACACCTGGCTTCTTGTAGGACACCAAGTTATATGCTACTTTAAGGGGGGGCCACAGCTGTTCAAAATAGAAAGCTTCAAGGTTATGGCTTTTATGTGCTAGTTCCAAATTCCTACTGTCCCAGCAGCATGTAAATATGGTCATTGCCTAAATTGGTGGCAGTCAATGAAACTCTAGGCTGAATCCTCAAGATTCTGTCCTAGGTTTGGTTTCTCTCTTCTGTAGACAAGTCAAGTGACTCCCCCAAAAGAGGAAATGCTTGGAAAGGTTAACCAATACACAAGTAAAGATTTATGGCTCAGGTGAAATAGCTCAAAAGAATGGGTTCCCTGATGTGCACATAGTAAGCATGAGGGTGCAATTATCTTGTTGCCAACCAATCAGAAGTTTCTCATTTGTGCCAGTGAGTCTCAGAAGTCCAAGGACACAATCCCTAAAGTGGGTAAAAAAGGGGAATGTTGAGGCAAAACAATATATTGGTCTGAAACATTTCTCATGTCCTCCTCAATGCACTAGAGATGACAGACATGCCACACTGAAAATTTCTCTACGGGAGATACCCTGTCACCTTCAGTAATTCCACTGGTGGGGCTGGGGATTTAGCTCAGCGGCACAAGCGCCTGCCTTGCAAGCAGGCAGTCGTGAGTTCGATCCCTGGTACCGATAAAATACGAAAAAGACAAAAAAAAAAAAAAAAAAGTAATTCCACTGGTACTGTGGGGAAAAAAAGCCAAGACACCCACCATCACAGATACTGGCAAGTCATTCCACAGATGATTCCCTTACGCTGCAAAGCCCAGAAAATGGAATGATCAATGTTTTCAACTCCCAGCAGGTACCCCCCGCTTTTTTTTTTTTTTTTTTGATGTAAGTAGGACAGGATAAGACAGAGCACTGCTATAATATCATCTAGCTCCATTGCTTGGTCAAGTCTTTTAGACATTTGTTGCTCTGTTGGTTCTTTCTCTGTATGGCATGGATTTTTCTACTTTTCTCCAGAGGACATTACAAAAATTGATGGTTTCTTTTAAATTGCATGTTCTTAAAACTGATAAGACCACAGAGCCAAGAATCTGTGGGTGCTTTGCAAGCTTATTTCTTCAAAGTTAATGCAGGAGGATTATTTTACCAAGCCAAAATTCGTAACTCATGGTCTGAAAAGGTCCACAGGTATAGTGACTGCCTGGTTCACACAATTGTCAAGGAGACATCCAGAGACAGCCTGGCTGCCTCCAACAATGCTCTCGCTAAGTCCAATACGCTGCTTTTTCTCAATAGGCAGCCAACCATCTAGTGAGAGTTATAAAGCTAATGCACAAAATCCTACCATGTGACTTTAATTTTAAAAGCTAGAAATAAGCCTACCATTAAGAAAACCTTCAATACTAGTACAAATAGTAAAGTTATAATCACAGCAATCCACTTGTTTTTGTATTTCCTTTCATTTTTGTAATACATTAATTTTGGACACATACAGTTTTGTGTGCTGCCTTTGAAACTCATGACTGTGTTTCACCTATGTTGTATCATATGTCACATTTTTGGCTAAGTTAATGTCCCTTTTTAAAAATTCGGTTATCACCTTACTGCTGAACATGTAGGTGGCCTCCAGTCACTGTATAACACAACTGTGGTCATCACTTCAGTGCTGAGGCTTTTTCCATATTGGACTATTTCTTTAGAGGATTCCCAGAAGTAGCATTAACTAGGTCAAAAAATATGAGTGTTTTATGGCTCTTGAAACCTGCTGCCAAAATGCTTTCCAAAAGAGGCTGTACCTATTTACATTGTTGGTAATGTATCAGATCTGTTCTGCTGCTCATACATTACCTTCAAAACCGTCTACATCCTCACCAAAATGCGGCAATAACCTTAGCAATAGCTATATGGAGGTAATTAAATTGCCCAAGGCAAGGAAAGTCACTTATCTGATAAACAGATTTAGTTTTGAGAGGCAGTATGGTAAAATTATAAAAAGACAGAGTTTGCCTGACCTTAAATCCTTGTCACACTCACTTTTTTAAAAAAATTTTTTTGTCTTTTCTTTTTTATCGGTACCAGGGATCGAACTCACGACTGCCTGCTTGCAAGGCAGGCGCTTATGCCGCTGAGCTAAATCCCCAGCCCCGTCACACTCATCTTTAATGTGTGATTTTGCAGAGACTCAATTTCTTCATCTGTGAGACACAGGACTATAACCTATCCTCTTAAGAGTTGTGTGTGTTCACTTTTAGTTGCTTTTGCTATAGTATCGTCGAGGGGCAGAAGAGATCCCCTAAGTCTGGGGAGTAATTTACATTCTACAGTGGACATCTACTAGTACCTTAAGATGTATGTATATCTTAGAGTTAGGTAAGATATTCTTGATTTATGTTTCTAACATATGAGGATTCTTGCTTTTTTCACAATTTTAAAATGAACTGTCAGCCACTGTCCCTTTTGAATATTGTCTCTTTCCCATTTGTAGCTTTTACTTCAGGAATACCTATTAAATGAAATGTTGTAATACTGTCTTTTACTCTCCTACCCTCTCAACTAAATTCTCCTCTTATAATTTTAGTTTTTAGCGCTATACAGTACATTTGGGGTATTTTCCTCAGATTTATCTTTTATTTTGCTAATTCTTTGTTTAGTAGCATCATATCTGCTAGCAGTCTATGGATTAAATTGATGAAATTTTCTTGCCTTTCATTTTATTTTTGCAAGAGACAGGGTCTTACTATGTTGTTGAGACGGACTTTAATCACTTGCGCTTAAACTATCATTCTGCCTTTTGAGTAGCTGGGATAACAGGTATGTGTCACTTGACCTGATTTGAAATTCCTTTCCAATGACCATGTCTTTTATTTCTAAAATTTCTCCTTCCTTTGTGAGTATGCTGCTTTGTTATCTTGAAAGATTTGGTCCCTTTAGATATCCCTTTAATCATTCTCACACATTACTTTTATTTATTTATTTATTTAGGTTTTTCTGAGTAGGGTCTCACTATGTAGTTTAGATTAGCCTTGAATTTACTATGTAGTCCAGGCTGGCCTGAAATTTGTAGTGTCCTTCTGCCTCAGCCTCCCAAGTGCTGGCATTATAGGCATGTACCACCATGCCTGACTATGCATTAATTTTAGAGTTTCTGTTGGATTGTATAATTGTATGATGGTCCTGGGAATCTTGCTACAACTACTGATTCTAACTCATGATCCATTTCATTATTTACCGTTGTTTTAATATTGCAGATAGCAAGCTCCTCTTTAGTGGGGTTTTATCTCTGGAAATTCTCTGAAGAATGGGCTAGGGAGTTCCTTCCCCAAATGTCACCATTTTGAGACCAATTTCTATGTTGATTTCATAGCCTGAACATGTAAGGGAGCATACGAATCAGACTTCAACACACTCAAAGCATGGGACTAAGATCCTTTTCAACTTTTAAAATTTTTTTTGGAGACCACTTCTCACTGTCACTGAGAGTTATCAAGGTAGGCAGTTTGTTAGCGGAATTTGGAAAAATTAGGAGATGAAGAAGCACAAGAATGTTATAAACAGAACTTGATGGGTGATTCTAAATTAGACGGATGATTCATTTGGGCCTCAGAAGATCAGGATGATGACAGGAATTCAGATAGTAAAGGCCACACTCAAGAGGTTTTGGTTGCGAACAAGGACTCTACTGACAGTTGGCCTAGAAGCTTACACTCTTAGCAGAAAAGTTGTCTACACTTTGACCATGTCTTGAGAATTTGTAAAAGACTTAAGATTAAGGGTGGCTGACTAATCTGGAGAAAACTTCAAGACAGCCTAACATTTAGTCTATGACATGGATAAGTTGAGGCAAAAGGCAGAGGAAAGCAGGGCACTGTAGTACATACCTATAATCCCAGCACTGGAGTGGCGGAGGCAGGAGGATTACTGCAAGTTTGAGAGCAGCCTGGGTTACAAAGTGAGCTCAAGGTCAGCCTGAACTGCACAGCAAGACCCTGTCTCAAACATATCCCCCCCCACACACACACACAAGCAGAGGAAAAAAATTGAAAGATTTAAATTTTGTCTCCGATGGGGTCATGTATAAAGTTGGGGCAAAGGTAGATATGAGTGCTAAAGAAATCAGAACTGCTGAAAAGGAGTCACTTACTTTACATGAGAACAATAGGAAAGATGACTTAAGGGCATTTCTGGAAATAGTCAGACTCCACTCATTACAGACTGAAGAATGGAAAATGGAAAATTCCTTTGTAAGATTTTGCTTTGAAAAAGGAGTCTCGGGCTGGGGATTTAGCTCAGCGGCATAAGTGCCTGCCTTGCAAGTTCAATCCCCGGTACCGATAAAAAGGAAAAAGACAAAAAGAAAGAAAGAAAGAAAAAGGAGTCTCAGGATGTACGGCTCATTCAGTGATAAGAGAAGTTTCTCCTCAAGTTCGGCCATGCAGGTATTCAAAGGTTTTTGCAGCCATGGTCCAAGGGGGCTTAGGCTACTGTTCTCACTGGTAGGAAACTCTGGCATCATTCACGTGGTACAGGTTTTTCAGGAATGCAGAATCCAAGTGTTACAGGGTCATGAAAGTGCCCACCTAGATTTCAGAGGAAGGTCAGGGACACCAAGCAATGTGCTCAAGAGAACAGTGAAGCTGTGAGAGTGAAGGAGCAATAGAGACTCTAGGAATTTGGAGATGCCAGGAATGTGGATCATCTACTGCAGAAAGTCACAGGAAGTGAGTGAAATCAGCCCAAGAGAGAGGCCATGTGGGCTACAATCTGCAAAGCCATAGGATAAGATTACCCAAACCCTTTGGAACTCACATTCTACCCTCAGTGCCTTGG